TCTCCTTTTCCCTCCCCCCTCGCACCCCTTTTCCTCATTATCGTACCTACTGGTGCGATCTCGCACTGCATCATTTCGACCGCCCGACCGACCGTGCCGGGGATGTTCGCTGGACTGGGATGTGTGCTGTGACGTGTGCTGCCTTCGTGTGCTGGGACGTTTGCAGGGTTGTGTGCTGCCTCCGTGTGCCGGGATACGTGCTGGGATGTGTGCTGGCTTTGTGTGCTGGGATACATGCTAGGGTGAGGCCTGAGTGCGTGCCGCCCCCGTGTGCTCTGTCTCTGCCCCCCGCACCCCTCCGCCCCGTGGCCACCGTCTGCTTACTCCGACTGGCCCACCGACCGTGCCCCCCATCCTGCCCGACCGTGCCCTCCCGCCCCCCTGTCCCCCCTGACCGACCGCTCCGCTCCATGGCCCCCGTCTGCTTGTTCCGTCCGACCGACCGACCGTGGCCCTTGTTTGCTTATTCCGACCGACCGACCGACCGGCCCTCCCCCCTGCCCGACCGTGCCTTCCCGCCCCCCTGCTCCCCCCCGCGCCCCTCCGCCCCGTGACCCCCGTCTGCTCATTCCGACCGACCGACCGACCGTGCCCCTCCTTTCCGCCCCGTGGCCCTTGTTTGCTTATTCTGGCCGACCGACCGTGCCTCCCCCCTCCGCCCCGTGGCCCCCGCCGACCGACCGTGCCCCCGCGCCCTTCTCCCCTGCCACCACCGTGCCCCGCCCCTTCCGCACCGTGGCCCCCCCGCCTGCTTGTTCCGACCGACCGACCGTGCCCCTGCCGCTAAGGCCGTGCCCCTGGCTCCCCCCCCGAAGTCCCACGATGGGCCAAAAAGGCTCCAGGACAGCTCGAGAACACCCCCAAGACAACCCAAAAGAGGCCCAGGCAGGCCCACACAAGACCCCCAATAAGCCCCAGAGGCGCCCAACCTATCATGGCCCTGAAGAGAGCCGTAGAGACGCCACTAGTTTTAAGTCGGGCCTGTCCCCCTACAGGGGGACAAAAAATTAGAAACATGCCAACAAAATAATAACAAGAATAGTCCAACAATAGTCCAGGGACTATTTTTTGAGTATGTGTTGACCTTTTTGGGGTATGTTTAGGGTCGTTTTTTATTTTTCGTGGAAAATCCCCCTGTAGGGGAACACGCCCGACATAACACTAGTTCACAGTGACATAGCAAGTTCTTCACGTCATAGCTCAGCGCGTCGCAGCACTCGCGCGCTTTCCCGAAACTGCCACAGATTGGCGCCACCTCCATCTTCCAGTGTCCCACATCCGTGATCGTATGATCCTTGGCACGCGTGCCTCTTGTTTTGTACCCTTCTTCGCCCGCTGAGTTTCGCAGTTTTCGGCCTCGGGGGCCTTACTGGGCTCCGGGACCGTCAAGAAACAACTCGGGTTTTTTTAACCGGTCCCGGGGCAGAGGTCCAGACCTCTGTGGGTCGATGTTGTGGAGAAAAACACGAAGTCGGGGGTCTGGGCAACGACCGCTAGTTCAACAGTTCCGATTGATATGTTCGAGGCCTCCTAGATGGGGTCCAAGTAGATGTGGTCGGAGGATCGACGGCTCGACGTGGCGCCCTTGTTTTCCCAGGCCGGCGTCGCCGATGCATCGCCGACGTCGCCGATGCACCGCCGATGCATCGGCGATGCGGCGCGATCCTCCCGCCCCATCTACTCGGACCCCATCTAGGAGGCCTCTAAATGGGTACTGAAAGAGCGGGCACGAAGACTAGCAGCAGTTTTTGCCCATCGTGAACAGTGTGAGTCGTCGGCGTCGCCGCGGACGTTGCCAATTTGAGGCAGAAGGCCGCACGCCGAACCGCGGCCGACGTGCCGCAGATCTCAGGTCCATGTCCCCCGCTTCTGCCGGTCCCCTACTCCAGATTTCGTAATAAAGGGAGGGGGGTCTCATTTCGGGGGGGGTCTCTTCCAGGCTATCTTGGAGGGCCTGGGGGGTCTGCGGACGATGTTGTGGAGGGTTCTCCCACGGGGGAGGTCTGAAATGGCTTGTCTTGGAGGGTCCAGACCCCCTTCCCTTTTACTACGAAATCTGGAGCATCCTTGCCCCTCGACTCCGGGGGGCCAGAGGTGGCCCAGCACCGGCGCCGGCGAGCAGGTGGGGGGGGGGGGAGGGGAGGAGGTCCGAGGCGCTGGGCTCGAAGAGGAGCTCTGTAGCCTTTTTGTAGGCCCCTGGGGGACGCTCCTGATGCCCAGCACTGCTCCGGCGAGCAGGTTGAAGGGGAGGGGAGGAGGTCCGAGGCGCTGGGCTCGAAAGGAGCTATGGCCTTTTTGTAGCCCCTGGGGACGCTCCTGATGCCCAGCACTGGCTCTGGCGAGCAGGTTGAAGGGGGGAGGAAGAGGTCCGAGGCGCTGGGGCTCGAAGAGAAGTAGCCTTTTTGTAGGCCCCTGGGGGACGCTCCTGATGCCCAGCACTGGCTCTGGCGAGCAGGTTGAAGGGGGGAGGGGAGGAGGTCCGAGGCGCTGGGCTCGAAGAGTAGCTGTAGCCTTTTTGTATATGCCCATGGGGACGTTCCTGATGCCCAGCACAAGGCGTCCGGCGAGCCAGGGGTTGAAGGTGGGATGGGAGGATTGTCCGAGGCGCTGGCTCGAAGAGGAGCGACCTTTTTGTAGGCCCCTGGGGGACGCTCCCTGGATGCCCAGCACTGCTCCGGCGAGCAGGTTGAAGGGGTTGAGGCGCGAGTGACCGCGTCGCTGGTCGCGAAGAGGAGCTGTAGCCTTTTTGTCGGCCCCTGGGGGACGCTCCTGATGCCCAGCACTGGCTCCGGCGAGCAGGTTGAAGGGGGGAGGGGAGGAGGTCCGAGGCGCTGGGCTCGAAGAGGAGCTATGGCCTTTTTGTAGGCCCCTGGGGGACGCTCCTGATGCCCAGCACTGGCTCCGGCGAGCAGGTTGAAGGGGGAGGGGAGGAGGTCCGAGGCTTGCTGGGCTCGAATGAGGATCTGTAGCCTATTGTAGGCCCCTGCAGGGGACGCATCGGGAATGTTCCAGACACACTGGCTCCGGCGAGCAGTTTGAAGGGGAAGGGAGGAGGTCCGAAGGCGCTGTGCTCAAAGAGGACTCTGTATCCTTTTTGTAGGCCCCTGGGGACTCTTCCGAATGACCCATCACTTGTCTCCTTCGAGCAGGTTGAAGGGGGGAGGGGAGGAGGTCCGAGGCGCTGGGCTCGAAGAGGAGCTGTAGCCTTTTTGTAGGCCCCTGGGGGACGCTCCTGATGCCCAGCACTGGCTCCGGCGAGCAGGTTGAAGGGGGGAGGGGAAGGAGGTCCGAGGCGCTGGCTCGAAGAGAGCTGTAGCCTTTTTGTCGGCCCCTGGGGACGCTCCTTATGCCCAGCACGGCACCGCGAATGCAGGTTGAAGGGGGAGGGAGGATGTCCGATGCGCTGCTCGAAGATGAGCTTAGCCTTTTGGTAGGCCCCTGGGACGTTCCTGATGCCAGCACTGCTTTCGGCGAGCAGGTTGAAGGGGAAGGAGGAGTCCCGAGGCGCTGGGCTCGAAGAGGAGCTGTAGCCTTTTTGTAGGCCCCTGGGGGACGCTCCTGATGCCCAGCACTGGCTCCGGCGAGCAGGTTGAAGGGGGGAGGGGAGGTGGTCCGAGGCGCTGGGCTCGAAGAGGAGCTGTAGCCTTTTTGTAGGCCCCTGGGGGACGCTCCTGATGCCCAGCACTGGCTCCGGCGAGCAGGGTTGAAAGGGGGGAGGGAGGAGGTCCGAGGCGCTGGGCTCGAAGAGGAGCTGTAGCCTTTTTGTAGGCCCCTGGGGACGCTCCTGATGCCCAGCACTGGCTCCGGCGAGCAGGTTGAAGGGGGAGGGGAGGAGGTCCGAGGCGCTGGGCTCGAAGAGGAGCTGTAGCCTTTTTGTAGGCCCCTGCATGGGGGACGCTCCTGATGCCCAGCACTGGCTCCGGCGAGCAGGTTGAAGGGGGAAGGGAGGAGGTCCGAGGCGCTGGGCTCGAAGAGGAGCTGTAGCCTTTTTGTAGGCCCCTGGGGGACGCTCCTGATGCCCAGCACTGGCTCCGGCGAGCAGGTTGAAGGGGGGAGGGGAGGAGGTCCGAGGCGCTGGGCTCGAAGAGGAGCTATGGCCTTTTTGTAGGCCCCTGGGGGACGCTCCTGATGCCCAGCACTGGCTCCGGCGAGCAGGTTGAAGGGGGAAGGGAGGAGGTCCGAGGCGCTGGGCTCGAGGAGGAGCTGTAGCCTTTTTGTAGGCCCCTGGGGGACGTTCCTGATGCCGATGCGATGGCGGGATGCCGATGTGGGCTCCAGTTTCTCAACGGAGGCTTTGCGTGCCCCTGGGGGACGCTTCTGATGCCGATGCGATTGCGGGATTCCAATGTGGGCTCTAGTTTCTCAACGGAAGCTTTGCGTGCCCCTGGGGGACGCTTCTGATGCCGATGCGGTTGCGGGATGCCGATGTGGGCTCTAGTTTCTCAACGGAAGCTTTGCGTGCCCGTGGGGGACGCTTCTGATGCCGATGCGGTTGCGGGATGCCGATGTGGGCTCCAGTTTCTCAATGGAAGCTTTGCTTTTGCCGAGCTCTGCCGCTTCGTTTCTCTCCCGACGTGGCTGCCGATCTCCGCCGATCCGATCCTTCTCGATCGCCAATCCGACCTCTCGATTCGATCCTGGGCTCTCCTGCCCAGATTCTGGGCAGGAGAGCCCAGGATCTGAGAAGGAAGTGAGTCCGGCGAAGGATTTCGGTGTGCTCGGGCTTCCGACGTGGCGGGGTCCCCGGAGCTCCGGAAGCTGCTGCGCCAGGACTGGCTTCTCGTCGCGGCTCTCGTGTCCTGGCGGCCCCGGGGCCCCGGCGAAGGGGCCTCCCCCAGAGGCCGAAGAGATGGCGAACAGATGGCGAAGGGGCCTCCCCCAGAGGCCGAAGAGAGTGCGAGCAGATGGCGAGGGCCTCCCCCAGAGGCCGGAGAGATTGCGGGCAGATGGCGAGGGCCTCCCCGAGAGGCCGAAGAGACTGCGAGCGGATGCCGTCTTGCTGTTTCGTAAGACGTTGGAGTGTGGGGCGTGAGCGTGCCAGCGTCCCACGGAAGGGGCCGCGGGGGCGTCGGAGGACACCGAGCTCCCTGGCCGACGCGGCGGCTCTCGGGGGATGCCAGCGCAGGCCCCTCCTCCTCCTCCTCCTCCTCCTCCTCCTCCTCCCCCTCCTCCCCCTCCTCCCCCTCCTCCTTCCTCCTCCCTCCTCCTCCCTCCTCCTCCCTCCTCCCCCCTCCGCACGGAGTGCCCGGCCTCCGTGCGGGCTTGCTCCGTCTGGGCTCGCACGGGACGGGAAAATGACCACAGCCATTGCTGTTCTTCTGCTGCCGCCCTCTATAGCCAGCAGAATCAAAGCAGTGGTTGCGGTCATGTTCGTTGCACTTTTGGCACCACGCAGATGGCCACAGCCACTGCCTGTTGTTTCGGCCGGCTGGAAGGCGGCGCAAACAGGAAGCAGTGGTTGTGGTCATTTTCCCGACCCGCAGCTTGGCCTCTCCTGAGGTCTGGTCGCATAAAAATACGTCGAGCCCCGCCCACGGACCTCTTTAGGCTTAGGTCGGGCATGTTCTCCTTCGGGCGGATTTGGATGAGCAATAGAGCGTAGTCTAAAAATGATCAAAACTAGTCAAAGCAATCGGCCCCAGACTAGTGACTAGTGTTGTAATTGTTTGGTTTAGTTCACCTGTAGAGGAACATGCCCGACTTAGCTCCTAGGTCTCCCTGATGGGGTCCGAGCAGATGGGGTCCGAGGATCGCGCCGCATCGCCAATGCATCGCCGATGCGGCTCGAGGTGCAGCCCGATTTGCTTCGCGCCGACGTCGCCAGTGCATCGCCACTGCATCGCCGATGCATCGCCCATCGGCGATGCGGCGCGATCCTCCGACCACATCTGCTCCGATCCCATCTAGGAGGCCTCTAGTCTAGGAGCAGGCCCCCAGACCCCCGTCGTCATGATTCTTTTCACGACGCCGACCTCCAGAGGTCTCGACCCATTCCCCGGCACTGGTTTCTCCTCCTGGGTCGTTGTTTGGTCCCGAGGCTTGGCGAGGGCCTCCAGAGGCCGAAAATAGCGGAATATCATCCGTCGTGATTTTTGGTGATGATGATGAGGAGGAGGAGGAAGAGGAGGAGGAGGAGGAGGTGAGGAGGAGGAGGAGGAGGAGGAGGTGAGGAGGAGGAGGAGGAGGAGGAGGAGGACGAGGTCGAGAGAGTTTGGGTCGGGGGGGTCGGGGCTTTGTCCCCCCAATCTGGGCGCCCAGTGGGCGTCGGCGGCCCGCGGCCGCCGGCCCGCGCGGCGGGTTTCGCCGCGCGCTCGTCTCTGCCTTGGCCGCACGCCCGGAGGGCGGCTGCCGAGCAACTGCGGGGGAGGGGGGGGGAGCCTCGGGCAGAGAGGAGGAGGAGGAGGAGGAGGAGGAGGAGGAGGAGGAGGAAGAGGAGGTGGAGGAGGAGGAGGAGGAGGAGGCGGAGGACCGCGACGACGCTCAGAGCAGGGTCTCCACCAGACTGCAACCCTGGTCCGCGACACAGCGGCCAGCCTCACGCGGGCGCAGGAGAAGGGTCTCTGCTGTCAGGTGGCGGGATCCATTTTGCGGTACGTCACTGTCGGGGCGCCAGTGCACCTCTTGCGCTCGCGCTTTTGGAGTGCTGCCACCCTGGCTCACTACGACCAGGTGCTGGCAGAGACGTGGGAGGGCCTCATTGGCGTGAACCTGACGCCGCAGCAGCGCCAGCTGGGCAACTTACCCCTGCGAGACGGTGGAGCGGCCGTTGGCCTGGCTACCCCGCGCGCAGCGGCAGCCTTCTTCGCCGGGTGGCGACACTTGTGGTGGAGGCAACGCGGTGGGGCTCCCATTTACGCAGATGCTGGTCTAGAAGCTGCCTTCCCGGCTTTGGCGGCGGACTTGCAGAGGGCGCGCGAGGAGCTCTTGACATTGTCACTCACCCTACGGCACGAGGACCGCAAGCTGGCCTTCACGCAGGAACCGCCGACGCACCTGCAGCGGGAGTTGACGGACGCCGTGATGTTCGTGACGCGGGCGGACCTTCTCCACCAGCTTCTATTCGAAGTGCACAGGGGCCGGCTGCGCTAGGGCGACGGCCCGGGAGCGGGCAGCTTCCTTTGTGTACCCTTGAAAGGAGTGCGCGTGATGGCCGACGGGGCGAGGCGCATGGCTCTGCGCAAGCGCTTTCTTTGTACCGCAGACCAAATCTCTCCTGTGACAGCGGAGACGCACTGTCAGCACACCGGGCGCTGGGGTGCATGCGGGGCGTTGCTGGAAGGGATCGCCGGCCTCGTGCACGCGGAAGGTTGCAAGGTGGGCGGCGGAGATGTTGGAGGCCACAACGAGGTGCGGGACATCGTTTTGCGTTTCGCCGCGAGGTACGTTGACCCCGGGGCGCTCAAGGAATAGCGTCTGGAGAGCCTGCGGGCGGGGGCCTGCACCGATGACGGGGACTCGCCGGGCGACGTGCTCGACGTGGTTTTCAATCACGATGGCAGACGAGTGGCTTTGGACATGGCCATCGTGGGCGCGCACCTGGACCCCGCCAGGGTGCGCACTGCCGCTGGCCGAGATTGAGCCGCGGCGGCCCAGGAGGAACGCGAGAAACGCCGCCGGCACGCCGGTCTCAGCGTGACGCCGTGTGCGTCTGAGATCGGCGGCCGGGCAGGCGAGAGCGCCTTAGCCGCCGTCCGCATGCTCGCAGTTATGGCGGGCGGCGACGCCGAAGCACATGTTCTGGCCGCTACCCGATGGCAGGAAATTTGAATCGCGCTGCATTCTGCCGTAGCGTGGCGAGTAGCCAGCGCCTTCACGCGGCCAGACTCCATGGCCCTGGCGGGCAGCAGGTAGAGAGGGCGCCGAGGGCGACGACGAACTTGCATCAGCCAGAGAAGAGCAGGCGGCGCGCGCCGCAGCCGCAGGTAGCAGCACGAGGCGCTCTGGCCCCCTGACGCGGGTCCTGCCCCCGCCAGTGGTATCGCGCTGCGCCGGCGCCGCGCGGCCGGTGCCCGCTGGCCATCCGCCCCGCCTGCCCTGGCGACCTTTAATTTGCGGTCCTGGAGGAAGGCCGCAGCGGCCGCGCCTGGCGACCGGGCCGCAGCGCGCCAGGCACCAGCGGCCACCTGAACACCTGGCCTCCCCTCGCTGCGCGGCGCCCGCGTGGAGCTGGGCGCCCGCGCGGAGCTCGGCGACTGCGCAGAACTGGTCAGGCGCGCGGACGCTCGCGCTGGGCCGGGCTGGCGCGGGCGGCGGCGGTGCGCGGGCGCGGCCGCCATTGGGTGCTGGGCGGTTGGCGCAGGCGGGCAACCGGCCGTCGCGGCCGTCCGCGCCACCCTGGACATCGCCGACCTGGTCCCAGGCACGCGAGGTATAGGCCCTGGCCAACGCGCCCCTTCCTCCTTAGGGGTGGCTCGCCACTGAGCGGTGGGTCGCAACTGCGGTGGGGGGGTTGCGCTGGCCCCCGACTAAAGTGCGCTGGCGGCACAGGGGCCCGCGCGGCTCGCAGGAGCAGGAGCAGAAGCGGGAGCGGGAGCGGGAGCAGGAAAAGGAGCACAAGGAAGAGGTCCCGACCGTAGGCCTCCAGCGGGCGGGGGGCTCTTGGGGGGCCTCGGGCAGAGAGGGGGAGCGAGGAGCAGGAGCAGGAGGAGGCGGAGGATGGGAAGGTAGTTGCCCACACCTCCACCCTACCCTCATTTTCTCATTTTGGGCCCTTTTGGGCGGCCCTCGTCGCCACCGCTGGATTCGGCTCGGAACCCGGGTCAGAACGCACCCCAGGAGAGGTCCAAGGAGTAGCGGCATTGGTACCTTTTGGTTTCCCCAGAGGAGGAGGAGGAAGAGGAGGAGGAGGAGGAGGAGGAGGAGGAGGAGGAGGAGGAGGAGGAGGAGGAGGAGGAGGAGCGGGAGGAGGAGCGGGGGAGGAGCGAGGAGGAGGAGGAGGAGGAGAAGCGGGAGGAGGAGGAGGGAGGTGAGGAGGAGGGGAGCACGAGGGGGAGGGGGAGGATTGCCAAGCTCACTACAGTCTGAACGTCTGCCTGGATCATATCTAGGGATGAAGCGGCCATCGGCGAAATGCTGGAGACTGGTGGGCAGCTTACGGGGGAGTCCAGTTCGAGGAGGAGGAGGAGGAGGAGGAGAACGAGAACGAGAAAGAGAAAGAGAAAGAGCAAGAGCAAGAGAAAGAGAAAGAGAAAGAGAAAGAAAAGGAGGGGAGGAGGAAGAAGAGGGGGGGAGGAGGAAGAGGAGGAGGGGAGGAGGAAGAGGAGGAGGAGGAGGAGGAGAAGAGGCCAGGGGATTGTGGAAACCCTTGGGGTCTCAGGGAGTTGTACGACTTCCCATTTGTCTTGTCATCATTGTCATTCGTTTGTTGCTTTGTTTTTGTTGTTTCCCCTCTCTCTCTCTTTCTCTCTCCCTCTCTTTTTTCTTGTATATGTCTCTCTCTCTCTCTCCCTCCCTCTCTCTCTCTCTCTCTCTCTCTCTCTGGGGGCCAACATTGACTGCGTGCATGAAACGCGCAAGGCCGGGACGCGCATGCCTGGCAGGTCCTAGCAGGGCTTAGCAGGGACTCCCTGTTCCTAGGAGGGGCGAGCAGGGCATAGCAAACCCGATCAAGGGCTGCTAGCTACTAGCAGGGCGTAGCACTGCTTAACTATCTGGCTTAGCGAGGCCAAGTTGGACATATGACTACCGCCGCTAAGCATGCCGTATCAGGGCGAGCGCTTCCGATGGCCTAGCGGGGGTTTACAGGGCTTCGCAAGTGCTCGCAGAGCTTCGCAGTGTTTAGCGGGGACGCCGACCAGGGTTTAGCATAATGTCGCAAAACTCAGCATGGCTCAACAGGGCTTGCACCATGTCGTGGCAGGTCTTGGCAGACCTTAGCGGGACTTACCAAGGCGTACCATGGCTGAGCAGGGCCTAGCCTGGCATACCAATGGTTAGCCCTACCCGGCATATCTTTCATTCTTCAGCACAGACCACACCTGAAGGTTTTGCAGGGTTCAGCAGGGCAAGACAGGACCGAGCAAGGCTCAGCAGGGGTTCGCAGGGCCCAGCAGGGCAAACCGTAAGCTTGCAGGGCTTCTCGGTGTCTAGCCGAGCCTGGTACGGTCTGGGAAAGGCGTTCGAAAGCCGGGCAGGGTTCAGTATACCCGACCCGTGCTTCACCGCATGCCCGCGAAAGCCTCCCCGGAGCCTTGGTAATCCATGAGGTACTTCCACTTGGACGGCGGGCGGAATGGCGAGGCCGAACTTTATTACCACCAAAGAAAGTACGAATCGTACGTTGGATCATCGTATCCGGATTATCCTTTGATAACATCATCCGCATCATTT